GTTTGGAGAGGTACTATTAGCTTCTAGTAAATAGAGACCAAAGATGTTGATAAATGTCCTACAGTACAGCCACCTGCAACAAATCATTATCCGGCCCAGAATGTCATAAATGCTAAAATTAACTCTGCTGCACACAGATATTGTAGTTGAAGAGTACCCAACATTCTTGGGTCAATGTTCCATGGCTATCAGCAGCATTGCCATTCCCTTAACCAAAGAGTGTTGATTTGAGAAAATCGTACAGTAGAGGGCAGTGATAAACAAATTTTTGTGTTATATTATCATTTGTCCTCCACAGTTTTTCTCCTTTTTCTACTTCTCTAATTCCTAAAACAAAAATAACAATACATGTAAAAACAATAATACTAGAGAAACTGATTTTGTATGTTTTAAGAAAAAAGCTCCATATTTTATGTAAGGGTGTATTAAAGATTTTAAATTAGAAGTTCCACATATACATGAACCATTTTTTTCTTCTTCATGGATACCCTGAGCACTGCAATCTGCAACTTTGTATTAACTCCTTTTTAAAAATTACCAATAGTATATAAATATTGAGAAAATGAAACATGTGACAATACTAATGTATGACTGATCATACTTTTGTTGGCAGCCTGTTCTAGTATTTAACAATCCTTATTTTTGAGCTGCTGAACCCAGCACTCTTTCCTATATGCATATGTTCTTTTGTAGTTGATTTAATGAAATTCAGAGACACTTAACAGCCTTATATTAGTACTCCATATGCTCAAGAAACCTCTAAAATATAGCCTTAGTCTTTTTTCTAAATTAGTCATCAAAAAAAAAAAAAAGCAAAAAGTCAAGGATAGTTTGAGATAGACCATTTTTTAAATTCAATAATATTATCCTTCATGGTAAAAAAATATATTATTATTATATTTATAGCAACAAAATTCGTAGTAAAATGAAAGACCAGGAGTCTAAAATAATTATTTTCTAAATGATCTCTAATTGTCCCCCAATAGATAGATGATAGATAGAGATAAATAGATATTTTTTTCAGAGAAAAAGATGCATGCAAGAACAAAATAATAGTATAAAAGAGCTTATAATGAAATGCAAAGACTCCTGCCCTAAGTATTTTCACCTGTCTTCCATGCTCTGGAAGTAATTACTATTTCATTTTCAATTCTTCTGGCAGATTGCCTTCAGAAATGAAAATTGTATGTTTATAAAATTCCTCAGTGTTTAATTTTGGGTAGGATATATTGCTTTTTCAGTAGAAAAGATGAGAATATAGAACACTTCCTCCTTGCTTTCAGGGTTGTTTCATTGGTTAAGTTTTTCATGTTAATTACACACTTAAGTGTATATAAAATAGACCTAACTCTATAACACTAACCCTAACTCCATCATTTGGAGACAATCTCTTGACTCTTCCTTAGAAACAAAGTTTAAATTTACAGTGCCTGGATTTTTTCCTATCTTACCTCCTCTCCTTCAATTTCTCATCTTCTGTAGCTATATTTTGACATTGTCATATTTGTCAATATGTTCTGCTATGCAACCACAGCTCAGTCTTTCTTGCGTTTTCTGTAGGATAAGTCTAGAAGGTTAAAAATAAGCAATATTTACATCATTATGACTTTATAATTTTTTTAATACTTAGGCAAAGAACATTTTCTTTTTCTGGGGGCTTAATGTTACAACTGTGGGGGTTATTAAATGAGAATATTTTCAACACCATTGTACACCATTTTGTAAGATTCCATCAAGTGCTCAATTCTATATCACTTATTTTTTTTATATTTGGACCATTAATTATTGTCTCTTTTTCCTCTTTTTGTAGTTTAGTTTCTTTTCCATTTTTCTTATATTACTTCCTCTCAGTCATGCCATCTACTCTATCAACACCTACTCTTTCCCCCATTTCCATAGCTCTTTACATTCTTCATATTCTATCTAGTCAGTACTGATTGCTGTCTACGCTTGTTGCTGTCCAAACTAAGTTATCATCCTGAAACATTACTTTATTCTTATAGGTATATTAAATATAATAAATTTTAAAATATTGACTTATGTCCTCTTGCTAAAATTAACTTAGTTTTAGTAGGGCTGTTTTTGTTTGGCTGGTTTTTTGTTCTGTGAATTCCTTAGGATTTCTACAAATATAATCATATCTTCTGTGAATAAGACAATGTTATATGCTGAATTGTGTCTCCACCAAAATTCATATGTTGAAGTCCTAACCCTCAGTACCTCAGAATGTGACTGCATTTAGAGACAGGGTCATTATAGTGGTTATTAAGTTAAAATGAAGTCACTAGGATGGACCCTAATCCAACATGACTTGTGTCCTTATAGGAAGAGGAAATCTGGACACAGATACGTATGAAGGGAAAATAATATAAAGACACGGAAAGAAGATGGCCTTTAGAGGGAAGGAACCCTGTTATACTTTGATCTCAGATTTCTAGCCTCCAAGCCTCTGAAAAACAAATCTATTGAGTAAGCCACCCAGTCTATGGTGCTTTGTTATAGCAATCCTAGCAAACTAACACAGGGACCATTTTACTTCTTCTTTTCTATTTTGTGCCGGCTTATACTCTGTAGAACCTCCAGAATAAAGTTACAAAATGGTAGTAAAGAAAATGCTGCTGCTTTATTCATTGTCTTAGGGGGAAAGTATTTAATATTTCATCCTTAATATGGTGTTAGCTGTAGGTTTTTTGAAGATGCCATTTATCCATTTGAGGACATTCCTTTCTAGCCCTAGTTTGTTGAAAGTTGCTTTTCAAAATTATGACTTGGTGTTGAATTTTATCAAATTCTTTATCTAAACCTTGTGATATTGTAAATGATGTTTCTCCTTTATTCAGATAAGGTAGTAAATTTTATTGATTGTTTTTTGATAATTAAACCAACTTTGCATTCCTAAGATAAACCCCACATGGTTATGCTATAGTAAAACTTTTTATATACTGATGGATTTGAGTTGCTTATATTTTTTTGTGTGTCCATGTTTATTAGGATTATGAGGATTATTGGTCTGAAGTTTTCTCTTCTAGGCTTTTCCATGTCAGATTTTGGTATCGGGGTTATGTTGTCCTCAAGTGTAAAGGCTATGAGGATTTTGAGATCAGGTGTTTGCTTTCAACATTGTGCTGGAGAAGTTAAAAAAATAACAATAGAAAACTCTTAAATTATTTGTTCAAGGCATTCCCCCAAAATTTGTATGACTGTTACAAAAGAGTACTGTGGCACAACTAGTGAACTCCAAATTAGATCCTATATATAGGATTGTAGCATCAGAAAAATTCATAGCCTACCATATCTCTTGTGTGAGCATAATGCTTTTTTTCCCTAAGAAAGACCAGGATGTGAAGAATAGGAATGGGGTCCTATGGGAGGTTTCAGATGACTCAGAGACCTCAAGTCTCCAAATATTTCTGAGCTTACACTGCTATAAAACAACTCTTTTTTTAAATTTTAATTTTTTGTTAAATGAAGCTATTCATAGCTTACTTGAAAATCCTTTAATGACCTTACCTGAGACAGTGACCTCTCAGGAGAAGCCAGTTCTTCTCATCTCTGACTGGCACCTCCTCTGATTGCCTTCATGATCCCAGAATTACTCAGAGAAGGCCAAATGCAAAGACAAGATCAAACTCAAGACAGGAAGGTTAATGCACCCACATGTGCAAGATTTTGCTAATTTATATCAGCAAAAATGAAGAGAATTGAATTGTAATGAATTGTGAAGATGCTAAACTAAGAAAGGAGAAACAATTTTAGGTCAGGCTGAATTTATCTATGTGGGGGCATATACCAGTGAATCTGGTTCATGTAGGCTCAAGCAGTTGGCAGTAGCTCAATTTGACTGGTTAACTAAATAAGTACTTAACAGTGGCCTACATTTAATGAACTGAGGTGCCAGAAATACCTTAGTGAGAAGAATCTGAGACTTAAGGAGATAGAAAAGTTGGAAAGGACTCATCAAATGTAATTCTTTCACCTCCTGTGTCTGCTGAGTGTTTCTGAAGACTTTGCCTTTACCAAGACATTGGGAAACATATTTTATAGACAGTACCAGTAACTTTGAAAAATGCTCTAGGGGGACATGCTCTGTAGGCTAGGAATGCTGGTGGAAGATGCTGTAGTTTATATGAGATCTTTTATTGGAGTGGAGATGCTAGGATCCAAGGTAGCATGGGCCAAATATCAATGCTAAAAGCAACATTTAACTACCAGGGACAGAATGGGCTTGGTTCTCTTAATCATCACCAGGACCTAAGTGGTAATCTGAATGATATGACCTACAGTGATGTTCAGTGATGGCTAACTGTTAATCAAGTCCCAATAAGTTAATAAATGGCCAAAATACTAATCTTCTATTTATTCTCTATAACCAAAACTCAAGGTCTAGAGAACAGGAGCTTGATGTGAACCATCATATTAGAGTCTAAGTCCTGAGTTAGTTTATAGATCTAGATCCCCTTTAATGAAGGGGAGATTGAAACACTTGAGAATGTCCTTGCATCATTGTAAGGCCAGGCCATCAATTTTCTTTCAAGCCTCCCCCCCAAAAGACAATTTATACTTAAATGAAATACATCTATCTTTTCACAGACCATTTGATACTGCTCTCAACTAATTGTTGACACCCAGGTATACAGAATTCTATGTACCACAGATTAAAGTAGCTGCTTATAAAATTCATGTGGTTAGTATAGTTTTTAACAGACTCTGCCTCATAGTGTACCCACTGCTATTTGGTGAACTCAGTCTGCAATAATTTATCCAATTCTTTAATAGAGTGTTGAAATAGATAAATTGAACAACTGGGAGAATCTATACTTTAGAACAATGGTAGGAAATGTCAGGTGGAAAGTACTTTATCTCCCCAAACTATCCAATTCTTCAAAGTGATGAAGCACATTTCAGGAATACCAGAGAGATTAATGCTACTAAGCATTGAACAATGTCTGCCTCTTCCACCCTGGACAATCTACAATCATCTCTCTCTATTGTTGTCACAGTGTCTACCTGGCCTCCCTGCTTTCCCCACCCCTTCCTCACTGCATTCCATCCACTACATCACTGGCAAAGTTATCCTTTGAAAAGGTAAGTCAAATGATGTTTCACCTCTGCTCGAAACTCTCCAGTGCTTTACCATTTCAGCCACAGGAAAAGCCGAGCCCTTACAATGGCCTGCAAGACCCACACTACATGACTCTCTATCACCTAGCTGTATCATTTACTGCTGCTTAACCTCAATCTCTACCCTACAGCCATGATGGCCTCCTTACCATATCTTGAACACACCAGTAAAGTGTCTAGCTGAAGACCTTTCTGTCTACTGTTTCCTTAGAAATCCACCTGCATGACTTGCTTCCTCATGTATGACTCTGTGGATATCAGTCAAATTATATCCTTCTAAGTGGGATTTTCTCTAGCTACCCTATTTAAAATTTCAACATCTCCCCCACAACTCCTGCCACAGTTAGGTACTCCTCTCTTCTCTTCATGACAGTCACTTAACAATGGGTACACATTCTAAGAAATGTATGATTAGGTGATTTAGTTGTTGTGAGAGCATGGCAGTGCACTTACAAAAACCTAGATAGTACAGTCTACTATATATCTACGCTATATGGTATAGTCTGTTGCTCCTAGGCTACAAACTGTATAGCACATTGCTATACTGAATACTGTAGTAATTGTAACACGAGTCACTAAGCAACAGGAATTTTTTGCTCTATTATAATCTCAAGGAACCACCATTATATGTGTGGTCCATCACTGACCAAAACATTGTCATGTGGTGCATGACTGTGTGTGTGTATACACACACACACACACACACACACACACACACACATATACATATTCTTTATTTGTATTTTTGTCTTTTATTCACTAGAATGTAAACTCCATTATCTGGCATATAGCAATAGTCTCATAATTGCTTATTGGAAACAAGCAGTAACACTAAGCAGTGACCAGGTCAAAAACACATCCTCTTACTAGCTTTCCCTTCTTCTTACATCTTATTTTTTTCTTTTACCTCTTCCAAGTTTTCCCTTCTTCTCTTACATATTTTTCTCCCTCTTACCTCTGCTCTCTTGTATTTTATTTCCTAATAGTATAATTTCAAATAAGCCATAAGGTCTATTTTCTGGGGAACCCAGGCTAAGATAGTTGATACCAGAAGTAACCCTAAAGAGAATTTTCTTGAGGTAGAAATTTGGAGCTGATTATTTACTGGTCAGAAGACACTAAATGGAGTGGTAGTTGTAACTGTCATGCAGTAGCATCGTGATTACTGAGACTTTCTCCCTTGATATCCCACTTAGAAAATCCCACTTAGAAGGATATAATTTGACTGATATCCACAGAGTCGTACATGAGGAAGCAAGTCATGCAGGTGGATTTCTGAGGAAATAGTAGACAGATGGAAGGTGAAACATTAGGATAAACTATGGCTGTAGAGACTGAACAGAATGGAAGCAATGCTAATTATAAGAATTGTGGAATGGGATGATTTGAGATAAGGAACTAGATATACTAATTCATGTATATGGTTAATGATTTGAACAGATGATCTGGGAAGTGGGAAAAGCAACATTGGAAGATTAATAACATAGGCTTGGGGGAAAATGATATGTAATGGACTCAATGTATGAGAATATTTGTGTCTCATATGAATGTTCCCAAAAAGACCTCCACAGCAAAATAGGTTTTACATAACCAAATGAGTAAGATGTCCAAGTGTGTGGACGTCAGTCAGTTACTTTTCCTATTCAACCCTGAGGCTTGTTCAGTGAGCATGTGGCAAGGGAAGAGATTTTGCTCGGGCTCAACAAGAAGAACTCTTCCTCATCCAGACTGACTGGTAGAGCCACTACTGTGTGCCAAATTTGATAGCAGCAGCAACCAATTATGCCCAGTCAGCTTGTGCATATGTTGGAAAACCTACTAAGTTAGAAGGAGCGATTATACTTTTCCTAAGAGGAATAAAGTCAATTTTTATTCACTTTCCCTGCCACCATCCATGGATTGAGTAAATACCTAATTATAGTTATTGTATCTGATTCAATAATTCATTTCACAGTGAAATAATCAAGTAATGAAGTAATGTTTATAGGATTCCAAGCCTTACCTTATAATAATTCCGAAAGAATTTGCTCTATGATTTGATAGAATGGTCAATTGAAGACTTAGATTTGGTGCTACTTGGGAGACATCTTGTAGGGTTGGTATATCATCTTATAAATACACTATATGCTTTAAACCAGGGACCAGTATATAGTATTGCTTCTCCAGTATCCAAAATATATGAGTTCTAGAATGTAAGAATTCAAATGGGAAGAATCCACTTCCCAAGTATTTGATTTCCAACTCTGTGACTCTGCTGGTTTAGATGTGGTAATTTGTGAGATCTTGAATTATCTCTCTTTTAATCAGAGGGCAAACTTGCTTCTATTATATGAGGAATAGTGACATTATGTTAACTTGTTTTTATCAATGTAGTTTTTATAAGTTTAGTTTTGGGAAAAGTGTATGTTAATGCTGGGCAGCTAATACAGTGGGCTGTGGCAAATATTTGTCATATTTTTGAACTGTCATTCAATACACTATGGTTGGAGAATTCTTAATCTTACGGGAATTAAAACCAGATAGATGGCTTTCCCAGATTTCCTTAGGGCATGCCTTAGCCCATTCAGGGGCTATTTTGCCATAACAAAATACCTTAAATGAATAATTTATAAACAACAGGAATATTTTTTACAATTCTGGAGGCTTGAAAGTTCAAGATCAAGGTGCCAGCAGATCCTCACATAGCAGAAGGGGCAAATAAGGTCTTTTGGTCCTCTTTATAAAGGCACTAATCTCATTCATGAGGTTTCCACCCTCATGACCACCTCTTGAAGGCCCCACCCTTAATGTTATTGCATTGAAGATTAGATTTCAACGAATGAATTTCAGAGGGGCACAAACATTCAGACCATAGCACAGACCTCAGCTCTACCAATCAGCTGGACCCACAGCAGACCAAATGAGAAACTAATGATGAAGCTGGCACCCTGATAAATTCATTCTAAGAGTGGCAGTGTCCACATTCAGTGCAAAGCTGATGGTACAAACTGCAGTTTCCATACTTAGTGTAAGTTTCCATACTAAGTTCAATTCGGTGCTGTGATTTTTTAAATGTTGTTGGTTGTGGAGCTTCTAAGTCTGGTTTATGGGTTCCACTGAAGGGTTGACAAACTTCCCAATGTCTTTTGATGAATTTATTAACTGCCTGGATTTTATCAGACATAGAATCTATTAGTTTCAACCAAAAACATTATTGAAACAATTATTTCTTTTTCATGTTATTTGGTCTCTTTTAAATTCTTGAGTTCAATATACATTTCATTTATTTTCATTCATTCTTGTGTAATTGTGTGTGTGCGATGCTAAAAACTTTCTTTAAGCATTGTTTTATTTTTTCATTACTATATGTTCCAAATATTCTAAAATTTTGGTTTTGGCTTTCTTTCACCCAAACATTGCTTAACTAGAGTTTTGATTTTCTAGGTGATCGTGAGGATTTTTCTATATTTATCGATTTCTAATTTTATTACCTTGTGATCAGATAATGTATTCTGTTTTATTTCTGTGATTTATGGTTTACTGAATTTTTGTGGCTTAACATATGATATATTTTTGTAAATGCTTAGAGGAATTTTTGAAAAGTTGTTTTGTTTTAAGGATATTGAATTCAATATCTACCTATATGTTCTACAGTACTGATACTTGGAGCCTTTATATCTTTACTTATTTTTCTATTTAATCTACCATGTGCTGAGCTAGGTATTGTTGTTCTCTGTTTACTTGTACTTTCTGAAGCTTTGGCTTTCTGAATTTTGAAGCTGTTAATTGATTCATAAAGATCCTTGAAAGATATTTATTATGGATTGCATTCTTTATTACTTTAAAGCACCCATGTTTTTCTTTAATTCCTTTTGCTTTGATTTTATAATTGCCAGATGCTAATACTACAAACACAACTTTGTTTACATGATTAGTATTTCTTTGCCCTTTTACTTTCAAGCTTCCTTGATTCATTTTATTTTAAATATGTCTCATATCTGGTAGGTTATTATTTTATAGCCAATCTAATAGATTAATATGTTGCATTTCACTTATGATATGACAATTATGTTGATTTAGTTCTCAGCTCATATCATTTTCTCTTTTTAGTGTTTAATTTGTTTTCTATGACTTGCCAAGAAAGAGATATTCAGAGCACAATTTAAAGAAGCATAAAATATTTAAAAATTTGTTTTCTCACTGGTCATCAGTTACAACAATTACTTTTTAACCTAACTCTGGCTTTCTTTTCTAAATTAAAGTGAATACTCTCTGTGAGCCTTTATTAGTGTCAAGTCCCCACAGTCATATATACTTTCCCTGGATTCCAAGCTCCAGCTTTTGACTTAGCTTTTTGGATAAATTTCTGTTAATTATTATGTATCAAATATAATACGTTATTTTCTCTTGTGAGGGCTCCAGCTAACTTCTCTACATGGGAGGAACTGCTTTCTTTCTCTCTCTCATTTACAAGGCTTTCTGTAATACTTTAAAGTCATGTAGTACAATCTGGTAGAAAAAGAGTTCATGGTACCTATGTGTATCCACAACTTTTAGAGCTGTCTTTTCCCAGTTCTTAAAAAAGAATTCTTTGTTCAAATGGATTCTCCCTCTCATTCTTTTAAAACACAGAGCTTTAAAGTCAAGTCTCATTAAGTTATTTAAGAAAATCTTTAAACCCCTGTTAAAAACTTACCACTTATATAAACTTAGCTCTAATAGGAACTATGCTTCTCTTCTATCTTCTCTTCCCAGTCTGCATTATAAATACACACTTATCCCCAACTTGGCTTTTAGGATGACGCCCTCACACATTCCTTTCTCAAAAGTAAGCATCAGTGTTATTCATCTTCATTGTAAACTCTTAGAGATAGCTACATTAATAAATGAAATTTGATGATGAAAGATATTGAAATGGTGTTTTGCCATGAACATGTTATGCTTATGGAAAATTTTACTTTACACTGTGTGTGTATTTTCAACTG